CCATTCTTTTTTTCATCCATAAAGATGCCAGAATATATGCAATACTATGCTCTTCATGGCAAAAGTTTTATGAATTGTATGAAATAAAGTAGATGAGACATGATGAGGCAGTAGCAAAGAATTTTAAGCTTGAAAGTGAAATAGTTTGCTAGTCCTGGCCAAGCCAACTGTTATCTTTAAAAAATACAGCATATTCTTGAGTTGGGATTTAAAAATATACCTTGTGATTCAGAGTACACAACTGCAGAGGATGAGTTGGTATTGAAAGTTTTCTAGAAATTAGTTTATGATCGCCTGATGTAGTCCAAGTATTAGAGTAGCAATTAAATTTTATAAATCTCTGCATTCATTGTCAATGCCAATTACATGCTACAAATGCAATTTCCTCGTTCACTACAATCACTGGTGGCTTTGTAATTACATTTTAAGAGCAACGTTCTTAACCTTATTTTTAGAAATGTTAACTGCAGTCTTCTATCCTTTTACATTTTGTACAGAAACATCGAGGTTATTTTTACATAACATTTTTTAAATGTTCAAAGCTTTTAGTGAATGGAGATGTTGGCAAAAATGAAATGTAAGCATTGGCGTTTGAGATATAACGAGGTTTGCATTTGTGTTACGTTCTAGGCAAGAATGAAGCACAACAGAACGGGCTATTTGGCGTCTGAGCCACAAATATTCAAGACTAGACTGAAGTTGAGCTACTGAAATATCTATTCTGTTGTACAATGTGACTGGACATGTTTAATGAGCAAAAGCAGCTGAGTCACGTCTTCCATGAGGTCGAGCACCAGAGCAAAGCAGCTGTATGGTGTGATCACAAGGCAAGGCTCACAAGAAGTGGCAGCTTGTGATATTTTATCTATTTTTCCACATTTTATTTTTTTATTTTTATTTTTTAAAGATATTATTTATTTATTTGAGAGAGAGAGAATGAGAGACAGAGAGCACAAGAGGGAAGAGGGCAGAGGGAGAAGCAGACCCCCTGCTGAGCAGGGAGCCCGATGTGGGACTCGATCCCAGGACTCCAGGATCATGACCTGAGCTGAAGGCAGTCGCTTAACCAACTGAGCCACCCAGGCGCCCTTTCCATATTTTAAACAAGGATTCCTCCAGTTCTAGATCTTTCTATATACATTTTCCTGATGCATATGATGCACAATTTGCAGAAACCACTCCAGGAACATAGAGATGGTCCCAGACTGATCCAGAGACCCACTAACCTGTCTTGCTCTTTGCTTGTGAGACCTGGCTCATTCTTCAAGTGAGCAGGAATCATTCCAGTAAAGGGACATGTTACTGCCCTAGCTGCCTCGCTGGTACTGGTGAGCCTAGGCTGCCTTCAGTAACACTGCCAGTGGGAGAAAAATTTTTTTTTGGGTGGGGGGGAGGATATAGTGAGGATCTAAAGGGATTTACCAAGATAAAAGATACAGTGGCTAGAGAAATGGAATGCCAACAATGAAGAGGAAAAGAAAATTAGGGAAAGGGGACGTTCCAAGTTCGGAGGATTTTGTCTTGGTTCTTTTGAGAAATGATTTTGCAGCTTTGGGTGGGAGATTTTATATCTTGCTCTTTTTTAGATTTGGAATGTGTCTCTCTGTGAGGTAAGGACTTACTGTAAATGCATACATCGATTTCTCCTCTTTTTGCTAAGAAAATTGCCATTAAACGTGCTGTTGCTGGTCCCTTATTTTGAGCCAAGTAAATGTTTAAATATTTTTAAAATAAACACGTTTCAGCTGACTGCTGGATGAGATTCATTCCAGCCAGGAGGAACTCAGTGGGACTGTTCAAGGAGATCTGGTTACTATCCCCATGATTTATGCTTGTGGTGGAAATTGCACTATTTACACGAAGGGCATGGTTTGGGGGGCAACGGCAAGGCCCGACTGAAGTGGGAATTTGCACAGTCAATGCCCACTAATGAAAATAGCTACAGTTCAGTGCCCTTTCCAAAAGCATAATTAGGCCCTTCAAATGACATGTTATTTTCACATTTTTACTCTTACACTGCAAACTTTTTCTTGCCGTCCAATGTCTGCATTATTACTTTGCAAAAATAATTAAGCAACATAACACTAAGCTACTAGGTAACTTCTGAAAAAATGTATCTTGGTTTTTCTTTTGTAAGCTTTACCAATGGGGGAAAATCATATTTTCTTGATAAGTTATATATATATATATATATATATTTTTTTTTTTTAAATGGTCTGTGAGTTATCTGTATAGTGTCTGAGTAACATTGTAGAACCGCCATTTCTTGGTATTCTAAACACTTGAATGATTTCCATGTGGGTGGAGGAGAAAGGACAGACCAAAAATTACACTGAAAATACAGCAGTGTGAAGGTCCTTGTGGGTGTCCTCATCTAAGTGATGAGTGATCCAGTGGGAAATCTCTGACCCTGGGTTTGCTAGGTTTCTACTTGTTCTTTGTTCTTGCCCTCCAAGTTCAAAAGTTCTCTAATTTGTTTGGGAAGCAGAACATCCTGGAAGTCAAGGTACTCTTCATGTCACATGATAAAACACAGATATATTTATTCCAATCCAAAAAACTGATTTAGCACAAATAGACTTATGTATCTGTATCTAGATACAGATAACCAAAGAGAGATATGAATATTTATGTGTTGATTTTATGTATTTTTCAAGAATATGCAGTGTTGGTGTTGTAAGTCACACTCCCTGGATCTTTTACTTATAAATAAAACAAAGCTGCTTCCTGGTTTCCAGTTAGGGCTGTTTCCATCTTTTCCTGTTAGTATTTGTTTGCTACTTGTTTGCTCACTTCTGTCCTAGCAGATAAGATGCAAATGCTGATGTTTTAAGAGAAAGTCATGAGAGAAAAATCCAAAATTTCAAAGATTCTATCCACTTATTTGAGATTTTTCTGAGAGCTGAGAAAATTCCATTATTTGATATTAGCAGTGAAGACACTGGTCCAGCTCAGAGTCCAGCAAAAATAGATTGGAGCATAGCTTGAGAACTGTTCTCCTAATTTGACGTTGAAAACCCACTACAATATCTAACTGCTGCTCAGAAGATGGAGGGTATTATCACAGGCCACGGTTAACTGGAAGGCAGCTTCCTTTTTCAAAAAATCTTTGTGAGTTCTATGTGCCAGGCACTGAATGAAGCCCTTTGCTCGTATTATTTTTAATTTTCAAAACTCTAAGAAGCAGATAATATCATGTATTCATTTATTAATACTTTTATACCAGGCACTATGCTATGCCCTGGGGATAGAACACGAACAAAACAAAGTCCCCGCTCTTGTACCAAGGCATGATTCTTTTTTTTTTTTAAGATTTTATTTATTTGTCAGAGAGAGAGAGCACAAGCTGGGGGAGCGGCAGGCAAAGTGAGAAGCAGGATCCCTGCTGACAGGGGTACAATTCTATGTTTAAATCTCTGCTCACACTTTTACAAGTTCTGTGACCTTGGGCAGATTACATAACTTCTGTGCCACAGCCTCTTTATCTGTAAAGTGCAGATGATAACAGTTCCCACTTTAGGAGGTTGATATGAAGTGATATGATATGAAACTAATGACTTATTAGTTGTAAAGCTCTTAGAACAGTGCCTGGCAGATAGTAAGCATGATGTCGTGCATGTTCATTGTCAGGATCATTGTCGTTGTAAAATGCTTCCTCTGTGTCAGTCACTTTTTAAAACATGCAACACATACATGTAATGGTAATAAATGATATGAAGAAAAACTAGGTAAAAGAAATAGAGAAAGACTAAAAACATTTTTTACAGGTGGATGGAAGAAGCCTCATGGTGACAGTGACATTTGAACAGATACCTGACAGAAGTGAGAGACTAGATCATGGGGACCATGGAGGGAAGGAGTGGTCTGGGTGCAGGGAACTGCATGCACAAAGGACAGAGGTGGGAGTGTGTATCATGCGTTCAAAGAACAGCAAGGAAGGAGCACCAGGGTGGCTCAGTCAGTTAAGCATCTGCCTTCAGCTCAGGTCAAGATCTCAGGGTCTTGGGATCGAGTCCCACATTGGGCTCCCTGCTCAGCAGGCAGTCTGCTTCCACCACCCCACTCCCCACACCCCCGCTTCATCCACCCTCCACCCTGCTCTTTCTCTCTCTCTCAAATAAATAAATAAAATCTTAAAAAAAAAAAAAAACTAGCAAAGAAGCCAACAAAAGGGAGAAAAAAAGAGCGTGATGAGAGATGAGGACAGAAAGAGCAAGGATCATATTGTCACCAGCAAGACCCTCTACACTCAGGTCTAACTATCAGTTTTATTTCTTAGAAACTAACTAATGAATTTCTGGAACAGGAAAAGAAACAAACTCCACCTGGCCTAGATAAATTAAGAGCTTGACCACCAGGGCGATGCTTGCGAAGCTGAGCTATAAAGTGCCCGACTATTACCTCAACTTCATTATAATGTTAAGATCCCTGCCCTGGGAGAGGCATGAGCTTCATTTACATAACATACAGTGTGTGCATAGGCAGGTTGTCTAGGTGCACCTGCGCAAACCTCTGCCCGCCTTTTACATGCAATGACAAAACTCTCCCTCTGAATATTTATCACAAACCCCAAATAAAAGGAACCCCTTTATCCCTGCTCAGGGAAGCACGGCTTTGGAAATTACTCCCCATGATCTCCTTATTTGCTGTAAATAAAGTTGCCTTTGTGTAACAGCTCCATCTGGTGTAGTCCATATCTGCGGCTAAAAAGCGAGCTCACATTAGCTTCGTCACAGTATCAGGAAGAGCCTCGTATGAGACCTGTTTTAATCAGAACTTGACTCTAAATCAAGCTACAAGCCTCGGAACAGACCCCCCAATAACTTGTACCCATCTTCCCGACCAGGTTTTAAATAGCTGGGTGAGATAAAGCAAGACATTTTTATCTGTTTTTTCCTTTCTCCCTCTCTCATGAATCCCAAGCAGGGATAGAGCATTCTCTCAAAACACATGTAATGAATGAATAAAGGAAGAAACTCTGCTCTAAAGTAAAGACGGAAGCCAACACACCAGCTTTATTACCTATTGAGGCAGTTGTTAGATGCTGCTCTGGGTTCTTCAACCCAGTGGACCAGCTAATGTTGAACCCCCGGAGCAGGCAGAAAGAAGCAGTGATCAGTGCATCCATTGGCAGGGCCAAGGCAGCCTGAGGAAGACGGACATGATGGCAGAGCAGGACAGAGCGCCTGCGTTCTGTCGGCTGTCACTCCCAGGGGGCAAAGGGCCGCACCTCGTATTCTGTCCCACACTTATCAACCAGAGAAGTCAATCCATCTTCCCAGGAGCAGAGTATCTAGAGACAGAGAGAAGGTCGGAATGTATTTAGGAATTACTCCCTCCATACAGAAACCAAGAGGAGAAAAAGTCTATCCCACTAATGAATGAGACAGGCATACATTCATTCCAGGATCTGGAGCGGGGTAGGACATTCTCTGATTTACATTTTTTTGTTTGTTTGTTTATTTGTGCTACTATTTGAGCCTTTATTCATTTGGAAGCACATCTTCCCCCTGCCTAAAGGCTTCAGAGGCTCCCACTGCCCTCAAGATAAAGTCCAAACCCTACTGGGTCCTGCATGATCTGTCCCCTGCCTACCTCACTGTCCCCACGAGGATCCCACGCAGGCAGAGCACAGAGGCCCATGAGGGCAGCCGCAGGTGGTCAGGCAGACTGGGCGATGTAGAGCTCCAGTGGATGTCATCATCCCACTCTGATTTACATTTTTAAAGGATTCCTTTGATTTGCCCCTCCAGATCCGCTCTTTACCCTCCTCTGGCTCAGTGCTCCTAGTGAACAGGACTGGACAGAAAGGAGGGCATCAAAGAGCTCACATGGGGTGAAGTCTGGACATCCCCCTTTCTGGACTCTGGTAACTACTTCTCTGCTCTGAGACAGCACATCATTCCTTTTTGATTTCCCTCAAGCCTGTCCTTATCTTTGTAACTTGCTCCTTTATTAAACTCTTCAAATTACCTACTTTGTGTATGCCCTCTGTTTTCTGCCTTGGTTCTGTTATAGAAATACTGTTGCCCTGGCCGTTCTGGGGGAAAGGTCTTATGGGGTTACAGAGTTGGAGTGAGAGGAGGAGGAGGAAAGTTTAAAAGCAGACCAGGAAGAAGGAGTCTGCTGTTTTCACAGGTAGATGGTGGTACTGTGCGCCTGGGGCCGACGACAGAGGTAGTGAGAGATGGCTGGAGTCAGGATGCAATGTGACGGTAAAGCCAACAGGACTTGCTGATGCACTGGGTATGGGCTCTAAGAGAAAAAAGTGTCAGAAAAGACTCCTTATTTTACAACTGCGGAGCAGAATGGTGCTGTTTAGAGGCTGCAATGTTTTCAGAGGTGGGAGGATATGCTCCAAGAATTTGCAAGACTGCATTAGCAAGTTTTTTCCTATTGGTATTTTAATCTCAAAACTGTGATTGCTAGAGCCTGTCCTGTGGCCTTCTGTGGCTTCTCCAAAGATCTCTAGCCCATTGCAGATTTTTCTGCCATAGGGAATGAATTTTTACCCACTTTAATGAAAAAAGCAAACCTGTATATACACCATGCAGCCTTTTTAAGAAAAAGAGGGAAAGGAAATATTTTAAACCAAATTGCCAGTTGTTGTTGCAATTGCAAAACTCTTGATAACTGCTGTCCCACAGAATAAAACCCTAAGTTTCTGAGCACTGAATCTTCTCACTGGACCCACTGGTCATACAAACTTCTGACTACTAGTGCCTTCATATGCTGAGCAAACATGTATAGTGTACTCAGCAATATCTTAATAATACATAGGTGCACGTGCATGTTTATGTGTGTGTGTGATGAAACCGAAACCAAAAAGATAGGAACCAAATTGCTAGAACTGTAGGTAACTTCTTATTTTCTCTTTGTACTTGTCCACATTCAGAGTTTTCTAAAATAATCAAGTCTTAGTTTAAGAAACATTTTCTGTTTTGATATTGAATCTTTATACCGGGCTTTACCTGACCATCTGTCTAAACAGTTTACTCCACCTTACTTTCACACAAATGCATTCACACACTGCTTTACTCTTCTTCACAGCATATATCCCAGTCTGAAATGATATTAATGATATTATCTGCTTGTAGTTCAATTCCATCAAAAAATTTAAGCTGAGAAGGTCTTCGCGTACCTCGTTCACTCTTTCAGTACCCAGATCAGTGCATGGCACTTAGGGCAATGATCAATAAATGTTCGTTAATTCACAGACAGACACACACACGTTTATTTTAAAGGTATTTTGCAGCAGGGATTGTCATGGTGATTCTAAAAAAAAAATCTACACCACTTGTAGGAGTATAAACTGATACAAATTTTTTGAGGAAAATTGTAGCACATAGTAAAAAAAAAAGAAACCTAAGAAAAATCATGACCTCGATTCAGAAACTCTACTTGTAGGACTTAACAGGAGATTCAGACAAATATTTATTTACAAAAGTGTCTTTGGAGCATTTGCATAACAGTGAGAAAAATAAGGAAGCTTAAATGTATTATGAAAAAACCATAAAATAATAAATCATTATAGCAATTAAACTGGTGTAGAAAGAGGTACATCAACTATTATTAAATTTTGAAAATAGATAACAAAGTAACATGTTCAGAATTCCTTAGAGGTGGAAAAACTTGGGAACTCTAGAATATTAATGGTGGTTATTTCTGGGTTGGGAGACTGTAGATGTTGCAGAGTTTCTTCTGTGTGCTTATCTATACATTTTTAAACATCTATAATAAACTCATGAAATGTTTTATTTCATTTTTCAATAATGTTAAAAATCATAAGCAATCCAAAATGGATTTCCTAAGGACTCGTAACTATAGCATAGCTCAAAGTGGAAAAAGTAAAATTTGCAAGTGAATTAGAATCACAAGTATTTCTGAATATTTCCTCCATTTGTTACCCATTTATCTCAAGTAGAACAACATTTCTCTGGGTTCAAAAGGGGACTTCAAGAGTTACCACCGTCTGCCAACAGAAATTATTATTGTAAATAATAATTAGGTTGACAATGAAAACGCTGGGGGGTAAATACGAAGCCACAATTCTCCATTATTCTTGAGTACAAGCTACAGAGGATGGAAGAAAGTGGTGAGGTCCTCTTTCAAATTCAAATTGAATGAATAGTAATAAGCACCACTACCTGTCCTGGGCCCACTGAACTAAGTTCTGAGGAAACAGAATGTGTGATCACATCGCTCACCAGGAACTGTATGTACTGATGCAGCTGAGAGAATTCTCAATGGACAAGCTGTCTGGAGTGCGGGCGTAAGGTGGCAACAAAGGTGAAGCGTGGTGGTGTGGACGGTGTGGGTTACTTCCTTCATCTGAGCCGTGGGTTGCAAAAATGGGATCTGAAGGTTGATAGCAGTCCCGCAGACATGTAAACACCTAGAGTGCTTAAGAATAAAAGTTTTAAATCTTACTTTGTTCTTCTTAGGCAAAACACTTTGCAGCTGGTCCAATTCACAATTTCATTCACGGGCTCCTGCAATTTTTGATCCGTGTATCTGAGCTATTCTTGGATCCCTACTTGAAAGGTGATCAGCATTTGTCAAACAAAAAAATCCAGAGAACACTGCTAGTTCATGAGCAATATACCGTTAAATTTTAATAATGGTAACTTCCCGCAATTCTCAGGAAATAGGCACTAGATAGGATTTCCTCCTAGGCCTCTTTCTTAAAGCTTTGTCCTGCCGCTGTATATCTGCCGGGGATGAAAACAAAGAAACAAAAAGTAGCAAGCCAGTGTTAGGGGAAAACGAGAAACAAAGCATAGTTAGGGTCTATGGTGCCAGGAGAGCAGGTGTAGATCAGTTTCTGCAGGACTTCAGCTGCCAGGATATCAAAATTTGACTTTATCCTGACGAAAATCAGAAGTCCTTGATGGAGAGATAGAATAAAAATTTAAAAGCAGCCTCTAAATTTCAGAAACGCAATCCACGGATAAGAGTCCATTGTCAAGAGTAATCTCCAGGCTTGGGCATGAGATCATGCCTGTCAAACCATTTCTGTCAGTCTCCTGATTAGTGATGGGTGACTTGGCACCCTGGCTGATGAGCTGGCAAGACAGGAGCTATCGTGTGTCATATCAGAGACCGCCACAGACACCCAGGGCAATATGACTTGTCACTTAAAGGAGGAGACAGCCTGAGAGCACCCCATCCTCCGGCTGCTGAGTCATCCTACTCCAGTAGTTATTTAAGCAGAAGCCTCCAGCACACACGCGATCAACACTCCACTCAGACAATGGCCAGACCTCCAGAAGTCATGTCTAGCTTGGACTGCCCACAAGTGCAATTTTCAAAAAACGGTTTCTGTCTTCTTTTCCCTATATTCTCACACTGGGGTTCTGACTTCTGGCTCTTTTCCTCAAAACTGGCCTATCCAGCCAGTCCTCCTATGAGACCTCGGCCCCAGAGGCCATCAACTCCTGTTGAAGTTTTCCCGTGGTCCTTCCGACTTTATTTCTTGTATTTCTTTTATGTCAACAAACACTGGTTGAGCATCTGTTATGGGTTAGGGACTGTGCTCCAGGTAAGGGTTGGTTCAAAAACAAGTAAGACACATTGCTTGCCTTTTAGGAGCTCCCAGTCCAGGGGAAGAGACAGTCAGGGAACCAGGAAACCAGGCACCCACCATATACAAAGTGATGGCTCTAAGGCAGGTGAGTACAAAATGATCTTTCGGACCTTAATTCTGGGGGTGGGGGGGGGGTACAACTCCTCTTCTCCAAAAGCCATCACCCTCTCCGTAGGGCTATGCGGGAGGAATTGAAGGGATGTGGACGGATGGATGTTTTAGAAGGGCATTTCAAATCCACCAGTGTATTCGCATTTCCACCTGTCTACCAGCCTGTTTGACCCGGGCCTGGCGGCTGCTCTGTCTGGCTATGAGTGCTGCCCCCGGTTCTTCTTCCTGCCCATCCTCTAGGTGCTCTCTTCCACGTGTCAGATGAGGACTCCCTTCACATTTGGCTGCCATCTATCAGCCACAACTGTCCTGTCCAGAAGAGCTGGCTTTGGCTTTAAAGCCTGCTTCCTGGCTGGGCATCTCTACCACTCCATTAAGGATACCATTTGATATGACATATGCTGCAGGTGCTGTTGATGAAAGTGCTGAAGGAGCTGGATGGGACTGACGTCTTTGGGGAAGGGTAAGACTCAGCGTGCGCATGCAGCTGTTCTGTCCAAACGCTCTTCTGACCTCCCAATGGAAAGGTATTGTAAATAAAGAGAAAGGGCACTAGCTTATTTTAAACACCAAATATGAGCTAGGAGCTGTTCTCGGCACTAAGTAAAAGCTTTATTTAGTTCTCACAGTAATATTGTTCTTATGCTAGAGTCCCATTTTATAGATGAAGGAAATTATGGCTCAGAGAGGTTAAGAGACTTACCTAAGGTCACAGAGCTGTGCAATTTTTTGTTGAGCTTGAATCTGAACACAGTCTATGTGATTTTGAATGTTGTATTCTTCAAACCACTGGAATAGTTCACAGAAGCAGCTGCAGAATACGAACACGGCAATAATGTTTCCTTTTTTTTTTTTAAGATTTTATTTATTTATTTTATAGAGACAGAGAGTGTGTGGGTGCACACGAGCAGAGTAGAGGAAGCGGGAGAGAGAGAGAATCCCAAACAGACTCTGTGCAGAACGTGGAGTGCAGAGCCCAATGCAGGGCTTGATCTCACGAACCTGAGATCATGACCTGAGCCGGAACCGAGTGGGTTGCTTAACCAATGGCGCCACCCAGGAGCCCCCATGGCAGTAAGATTTTTGATTCCAGTCTGATTATCAGTCTTTGAAGAGTGATATAAATACAGGACATACAGCATGAGTTTCTGAATCTTTGTTTTGAGACACGCAGCCAAACAGAAGGAACTGGGGTAGAAGGAAGCAACAAAGATATAATAAAACCAAGTTTATCAGATGAAAGTATGGATAAAAATGTTTACATTCCCAGAACTATAAATATTGAAAAATTAAAGACACACTGAGAAAATATGTCTGTTTTTATGACTTGTTGATATCCAGGGGGTTTTTCCTTAAGCCTCCAAACAATTTACAGCATTGCCAGCAGCATTCAGTACATTCAGAACAGGATCATTTCACCCACAGCTGAACGAGGGCCATGCTTGGGACAGCACCAGGAGGGCCTTCCAGCAGACAGGCCAGGGAGGAAGCCAGGGTCAGTGAGGGAAGAGCAGAGCAGAGCCATTTAAAGCAACACGGTTTATGTAAGTGTGATCTAATTGCTTCCACTGGAAATGGGTCAGATTCCAGTCGAGAGAACCAGGGGCCTTGATGACCCCAGTGAAATCAGATTGTGGCTTTTCTTTCAATCTCCTTGGAGAATATGGTCCTCTGGTGAAAGAATGATGCTTGGATTCATTTCCATCTGCTGTGTTTCCCAGTCTCTTCTTGCCTCCTCGTAGTTGATTTGCATTTTTTTTCTTTTCTGGTGAAACACGTTAAACTAAACAGGATATGTCATATGACAGACTGTGATAAATTTACTATTGGGAATAGGGAAAAAGTATGGGATAAAGAAATAGGTCTTTTTTGTCTCTCACGACCATGATTCAGTTCTGACTCAAAAGGAAGTGTGCCACCTACTGAATCACGGAAACCACTTCCTGTAGCTGTTTGGCTTATTCTGGAGGGGCATTCGGCCAAGTCCTGCCCTGCCCTGACCCCGACTGGCTCTTCAGAGCCAAAGCGTTCACAACTTGAGGTGGTTTGGCCTCGTACTCTGAGAACATTACATATTAAATTACAACTGTTTCTTTTCCTAGCAAAGAGTCTTTAGCAACATGAAAACGAACATGTGTTATTTGCAAACGGAGTGTCTCATTACTCAACCTGAACATCCATACTTTTTCATAAGGTATGTATCCCAGATGACCACTCTCAGGATCAGAATTCACGCTGCTTCTGTTTTTCCGGAGGGCAGTTTGGGCAGTCTGTAGGGTGGCATTAACCAGATGAGGTTTCAAGTGCACCCTTTCATTAGTGAAGCAATACTAGCCTTGTATTCATTCATGCAACGTATTTTTTGAGCACATGCTTACTGCCACGTCCTGTGCAAGGTGGGGGTAGAGGATATAGTGGCAAATGAGACATGGCTCCTGACCTCATGATGCTTATGATCCACACTGAATGGAAATTAGGTTCTCCTCTCCAGAAGCAAAGATTGTGCTTTGCACACAATTAAAAGGAACATCAACTAAAGGAAAATTTGTTTCCTCTTTGCCCACAGGATATTTCTGACACCAGATGCGTGGGTTTCTCCACACCAAGGAATTCTCCAATTCTCAGCAGCCACTGACTATCCTACAATTTAACTAAATTCTGACAGTAATTGGCCAGAATTAGCACATGACCTCAATTTAAGGGCTCAGTCCCACAAGATTGCACTTCAGACGTCAATCCTAAGACCCAGGTTGTCATCTGCACTTCTGATCAATGGGATGTAAATTGAGCTTTTCCACCATCTCTTCTTTGGGTTTGATAATTAGCCAGAAGGGCTCAAAGAATTCAGAAAAATACTTCATTGACATTTACCGGTTTATTATAAAGGCTAGAACTCTGGAACAGCCAGAGGGAAGAGATACTTAAGGTAAGGTGTGGGTGGAGGGGGGCGTGCAGCTCCCATCCCCATCCCTGGATGTGCCACCCTCCCAGCACCTGGATGTGTTCACTGATGTAGAAGCTCTTAGAACTCCATAACTTAGGGTTTTTATGGAGATTCCATTGACATGATTGATTAAGTCCTTGGCCATTGGTGATTAAGTCATTCTCCAGCCCCTCTCCTCCCTGGAGGTCAAAGGGTGGGACTGAAATCACCTGATTGGATCCTCTGGCAACCAGCCTCCACCTTCTAAGAGTCATCTCATTACCATAAACTCAAGTATGGTTGAAAGGGGCTTATTATGAATAACAAAAGATGCTCCTGTCCCCAGTATTACTCAAGGAATTCCAAGGGTTTTCTGTGCCAGGAACCTGGGAGGAAGACCAAAATATGTATTTCTTATTATACCACCATCATGCAGCCGCAGCGTCTAGCATTGGGCCTTGCAGAAAGGAACCGCTCAATACTTGTTTGAGTAGATACGTGAAAGAAAGAACAAAAGACAAAGAAGAAAGGAAAGAAGGAAGGAGATAGGAAAAGGAGGGAGGAAAAGAAGTCACCTCACAATCATTTCTTACTGTATTTGCAAGGGAAGACGAAAATATCCAGCTATTTGTTTTCTTTCATTGTGTCAATTCCAAATGGACTAAAGGTTTGTGGCCCTAGGTGCATCTGGAGTCTCTAGTGCTTCAGGATACATATGGGCTCTGCATCAGGGAAGTTTGAGAAACAAGGAAGCCCATTCTGATACCAGGTCAACATTAGAAGTTTTGAGAACCCTCTCTGAGAGTAAAAGCCTCTTTATTGTCCACCACAGAATAGGCCAGAATCCTTAATGATAGATGTTTTATTTCCCTGGTGGTCCATGCCCAAAAGATATGTCAAAGAATGGTTACAAATCTGTATAACACTGAGCAAGTAATTTACCCACCTCATAGAACAGTAGTGAGAATTCAATCAGACAAGGGGCACCTGGGTCTTGATGACGGCTCAGGTGTTGATCTCAGGGTCATGAGTTCTAGCCCCACGTTGGACTCCACGATGGACGTGGAGCCTACTTAAAAGAAAAAAAAAAACAACAACAGAATTCAATGAGACAATGTCTAGAATGGTCCTTGGCACACAGGAGGCTCCTTATAAATAGAAGCTTTCAGGACTAACTTCTCTTAATCTCATTACCATTACTACTTCGACTACTGTTACTTAGGTTATATCCCGTAATGCCAGCAGTGTTTCCAGGATCTGACCAGTGGCTTTATGTTTAATAATGGAATTCTACAGTTCGGTGTCACAGCCTTTCTAAACCCATGCTCTCCTTTTGACAATCTTAAACATTTTAAATTGACCTCCAGTTGAAACTCCCTGTCAAGAAGAGATTGTCTAGGGGCGCCTGGGTGGCTCAGTTAAGCGTCTGCCTTCGGCTCAGGTCATGATCCCGGGGTCCTGGGATCGAGCCCCACATCGGGCTCCCTGCTCCGCAGGAAGCCTGCTTCTCCCTCTCCCACTCCCCCTGCTTGCGTTCCCTCTCTTGTTGTGTGTCTGTCAAATAAATAAATAAAATCTTAAAAAAAAAAAAAAAAAGGAAGAGATTGTCTAGATTACTTATGTCTAATATATGAGAGCAATTTTTCCCCAAATGTAAAATTATATAATGTAGAAGAATGTTTTAAAAAATCATATGTAAACCAAATATAACTAGTGTTATAAGATAAATAGAGGCATATTACAAATTTTAGGAGTTTATTTGAGCAACAATTGTACCAAATTGGGCAGCACCAGACCAGAAGTGGTCAGGAGTGCTCCACCAACAGGAGCTAAGAGAAAGACTTCTAGAAACGAGGCAGAAGCAAAGCAAGAGAACTATTTGATTGTCTATAGCTTAAGTGCTTGCCTTATTTGGGGAAAGCCTAACTGACTGTGATTGGTTGTCCTTTGTTTCAATTTTTAACCTTGAGGAATTAGAGGCTTAGGTTTGGGTTTGCTTATGTAGGCTGCTAAGGCATTGGAACCACCTCAGTCTAATGGCCTCCATTCTTTAATTTGACACTAGGTTTTTTTGCCTCTGACCTAAGGGTATTCTCTAGACATTTGACTTACCAGAGGAAGAAGCAAAAAAAAAAGAAAAAGAGGAAGAGAAGTAGGAAGAGACACAAAGAAGGGAAAAAGCCCCACCAGAAATACTGAAGAGAGATGGAGGTTTTCCTGAAGTTTCCTTAAGTACTGCTGAGGTGTTTGTAGGGTACCCCACACCACAAAGATAACCAATATGTCGTTCAAACCTTGACCAGTTTCCCTCAGAGTTCCCCTTCATATAGAAATCCAACATCTCCCTTCACAATAGCTTCTTCCTTACTCAGATGACACTTTTCTTCTCTGTTTCCTCCAAATTATCCCAGAGTCTGCTCCCTATTTAACCTCCTCTGAGCTTCCCTAGTTCCCTCCCCTATCATATCATTTGGCTCAACAAAGAATGGGAAGTTAGACCCTAACTGAAGTTTTCAAAATCAAGGCATTGTAAAAAGCTCTTTAGCCAAGAATCATGATAACAATTACAGCAAACAAATAAATTAGCTCACAAGTCTCAGAAGCCCAACAATATTTTAAACCCTCATCTCTACGTACGGTTATGTTCACGTTTTTGGTCTGTTCATTGATACATCCCAAGTGGTTGTAACAGTACCTGGCAAAAATATTTATTGAATAAATAAATTAGCTTAAGAATTAACATTCCAAATAAAACAAAATGCCATTAGATTATCCTTTCTGCTTTTTCCTCTTAAATATTCTGTGTGAGACCAATAGTCACACATGCATCCATACGAAAGAATACAATTTTCTGACATTAATTTTTTTATTATGTCACTTAAGGTCAAATGTCACAAAAAATTATATTGAACTCTTGACCAATCTATCTATTTTTTCCATTGGAATATTGGCCCAACTAAAAAATAACATCAAGGAAAAATTATTTGTTGGCAGAAAAATATCCTCTCCAAATTCTTGTGTGTTTTGTTTTGATTTTTCCTTAGTGACTAGAGGTCAGTTTCAATCCACTGAAGCACAGATTCCAAATTCTCAATCTGGTTTTCTTGAGTACTGACAGAATGCCAAGAATGAGGCAATGACACAAAATCACTACCAAGACACACACACACACACACACACACACGAGTCTAGGGCATGTTCTGGTGACTTGCAAGCTTCTTCCCCTCTAAAATGTACCCTCAAATTCTTATGAATTTTTTTTTTTTAAATCTAATACACTGGTCAGGGTATTCTAGATCCTAAAAGATATAATAGAATCATCTACTGACCAAAGATTATGTGTCCTCTACTTATCCTTCCTTGTTTCCTTTTTTCTTTTTAAAGATTTATGTATTTGAGAGAGAGAGAGGAAGATTTAGAGAGAGATCACGAGCACGGGCGAGGCAGAAGGAGAAGCAGGCTCCCCATTGAGCAGGGAGCCTGATGCGGGGCTCGATGCCAGGACCCCCCGGGATCATGACCTGAGCTGAAGGCAGACGCCCAACCGACTGAGCCACCCAGGTGCCCCTAAAATTCAAATTTTAAAAGGAAACAAGGGGGGTGCCTGGGTGGCTTAGCTGGTTAAGCAGCTGCCTTCGGCTCAGGTCATGATCCTGGGGTCCTGGGATAAAGTCCTGTGTCGGGCTCCCTGCTTGGTCAATGACTATAAATGTAATTATTGAAAAAGCAATAATTTTGTGTTAGCCTAGTAATAACGGAAACTACATGTTATTTGGCAGCCTTAAAGGAATCACATGTTTGATGTAGTACAGGGACAGTGCCTTAAAAGAAAGGGTGGCATGCTGGACAGCCAAGAGAACAAACATCCACTACAAGTAATACGAGCACCGGGTTTGGATGCAATCCATCTCTGTATGAGACTGGCTGCAATTCACTCCATCTGAGCCGTTTTTTCCAGCTATGACTAGAGATATCAACACCTATCTCCTTATTTCGTGAATCTCTTTACTAAAATTAATCGTAAGCTGTTGTTCTGTGATTCTATAAATCTCAGAATAATCTTTCCCTGTTACAGCCAACTTCTTTATCATGGTCAGAGATACTCACCTGGTTATTTTGGCTTCTCTAATCCTGCTGGTGAAAACACCTCGAAGGGTGCTTTTGGTCAGGAGCTGACAATGGCATTTAAGGTCACTTGTCTTTTGATAAAGAAGGAGAATTTGCAAGGAGACCAATAATATATATATGTATTTTTTTTACTTGGATCTAGTAACTTCCCTGATAAGGATATTTAATTCATACTTGTTACATCCTAATTAATGCCAAGCCCTTTTTATGCATTATGTCATTTAATTCTCACAGGAATCCTTTGAGATAGGTTATCAGCTAGGGGAAAAAAAAATCTCCAACTGACTAAAACAATACAGGGCACTTGTTGGCTCACCTAACTGGTAGTCTAGAGAGAGAGCAGCTTCAGGATTGATGAATCTAGGGGCTTCATTCTGTCACCAGGTTCCTAGATCCTACTGCTGTCCTTACATCCAGCCCTAGTTTCCTCCAAACACCAGTTTTCCTTTGTAGCATGGCCATCAGTAGAAAACCCGCTTCCTTACGGAGATCTAGCAAAGGTGAGAGAGTACTCCACCAACAATGAAAAAAGTGAAAAAATTGCCTTCTCCTTATGATCCACCTTTAGTCTGATGCTTATCTCTTAAATAGTAGCTATTGGGTGTAGAGTTGGGGGGAGGAGAAATACTATGGTATGATTAACTCATCTCGTGATCCAGAGGATTATGATTATCTTGACTGATTTGGATGAATTATAATTTACTCCTGGTGCTGGAGCAATTCTCTGCACCACAATGACTACTACATAGTGAAAAAAGAATAGATCAAATTTGGGAGAGCCAACTATAATGTGCACTACAGGTAAATACTGCTAATTCCCAATTTACAGATGAGAAAACTGACACACAGGGGAAAAGGGTAAGTTAATTTGCTCACGATGATAATTGAACCTGGGCGGTTTATCTCCATTCTAATAGCAATTATCTCCTGCATGCATTTCTTTCTTTTTTTTTTTTTTAAAGATTTTATTTTACTTTTTATTTTAAGTAATCTCTACACCCAACCTGGGGCTCGAATTCACAGCCCTGAGATCAAGAGTTGTATGCTCCACCGACTGAGCCAGTCAGGTGCCCCTCCTGCATGCATTTCTTAAAGCTTATGATGTATACAAGGAATTCCAAGATAAAGAGAAGGTGTGTAAAGGAAAGACCACAGTACTAGGCGTCAAGAGATGAGGTTCCAGTCTTGCCTCTCCCACTTACTAGCTGTGTGACTTCTTGAAAATGAGAATAATAAAACCTACTTACTGGAATAGTAGCAAATACTCAAATAGGAACCCTGCAGAAGAGTGGCATCATTTGGGAACTTGCTTGAAATGGAAATTCTTCACCTCACCCCAGACTCACTTAATCAGAAGGGGGGGGGGGGCAGGTAGCAATAAATACTTTAATAAGCATTCCAACTATTTCTGATGCTTGCTAAAATCTGAGAACGGCTGGCCTCACACATCGCCTGGTGCACAAACTTAGGTTTGTTCTTATGTCCTAAAGACAATGAGCATGTTGACTTCTATCTCCAAGAGCTCACAAGCTAAGGAAACAAAAAGTTCCATATTAAATTCTTTAATACAGGACCATACTGAGTGATAAATGATCAAAAACAAGCTTAATGTGCTTTGAAAGTTTTTAAGGGGTTGAATTTATTTCTAACAAGGCGAATCTCAGAAGGCTTTATAGATAAAAAATAGAAAGGGGTAAAATAGCTATAAACTGTAAAGTAACACAGATAATCAAACTTCCAGAGGTTACTGCAAAGTTGTATCTAGAAAGTTAACTTAATATATATCAGTACAGGGGCACCTGGGTGCCTCAGTTGGTTAAGCATTGGACTCTTAATCTCAGCTCAGGTCTTGAACTCTCATGCGTTCAAGTCCCAAGTTAAAAAATAATAATAATTATATATGTGTGTATATACAAATTAACAGATTAGATACCTCATATTATATGTGAATAAAAGCCCATCCAAAGTCAGAAGAGGAAAATTTTAGTCCTGATATTACATTACCAGCTGTCCCTCAATGTCCTATTTCATAAAAAAAGAAGTTGGTCTGGAACCCTGGTTCTTAATCAAGGGAAAATAAGGTGGGCCCAAGGCATGTGTAGACTTAAAGCTTCCACAGGGGAGTGTGGGCACAGCCTGGTTAAAAAGCACTGTACTAAATTATCTAATCTCTGACTGTAGATTATCAAATGTAAAGTTAAAGCATTAAGGAAGTATGTAAACATTTAAAATCTGTAAGCCAATCTCTGCTTTTTCTTTTTTCCTTTTTTCTTTTTCTTTGCTTAACATCTCTGAAAGTGCTCTAGTACCTGAACACCCAATTAATCAAAGGGAAACATCTGTAATATGTAGCAACTAAAAATCACCTTCACTGTGTAGATCACAAAGTCCTTGGCAATGACTTCCATACCAGACTAGTGAGTATTGTTGTTCTCATTTTCCAGATGGATAAACAGAGGATAAAGGCCTTGTTCAGTGTTACACATTTCTGTCACCAACTGAGACACAATGGATGTCAGTCTTCTCATTCCTTCAACGATAAAGAGCTTTCAAGCTCTTACAGTCAACAAGAACTTCTGGAAAGATTACACTGGCTGAAAGGCATATACATGGATGACATCCACAAATAGGAGGAAATTAACTTGAAGCTGAGTGTCTAACTTCACTGACTCTCAGTGGTAGAGACAGAAGAATAATAAAGTTTTAGCAAAGAAGGGTCTGAAAAGAAAATAAATATAGCTAATTATCGAGTACTGTTTTTACACAGTAAAACAAGTGAAAATTACTCTTCTTTAGGTGGTAATTCCTATCTCTTAACGGAGTCATCCATTCATTCAATAAATACTTACTGATTGCCTTTTATGTGCCAAGCCCTCATTTCTGTACTGGAAATGTAACAATGAGCAGAGCAGATAATAATAGTAATAACGATAATAGCTATTATAGCAGGGACCAATATATTAATAAATAATAACTGTCTGTTGAATAAAATGTCAAAACTCAGTGTGCACTAGCATTCTCTTTGGGGCTGTATCCACTGACTATAACACGGCTAATCTACTTTGAAATTCTCCAGCTTTCAGGCTCTCTATCAAAAAAGCTGTTTTTGAACTTGCCTCTTATGGATGCATCCACCATGAGCATGGACTTACCACTCACTGGCCTGGGAAAGGCAACCAGAATTGAGAGCATTATGATTTCTTCACTGTGAGTTTTAAATTACTAGAACCAGCTCTTCTAACTCTACTTCTTGGTTTCCTACGACTCAAATACTGAAAGAGATCACAAAATATATGCCATCGTAGGGCCACCTTGGTGGCTTAGTCGGTTAAGCGTCTTCCATCATGATCTCAGGGTCCTGGGATTGAGCCCCGCATCAGGCTCCCTGCTTGGTGGGGAGTCTGCTTCTCCCTCCCCCTCCTCCCCTCGCCCTGGCTTGTGCGCTGTCTCAAAATGAATAAATAAACAAATAAATAAACCAACAAATTCGAACTCTCAAATTACTTGGCTTTAAAAAAATGCCATCTTAATACTGTTTTAACACAAAACAAGTGTTCCTTTCAGTTTTGCTTGCAGTGGAATAAAACACAAGCATATTTGAGATTAATTTTCAGTGGTCAATTCATTGCATATATGGTTTGTAAGAGTAAATGCTTTGGGGGGGCTCTAAAAAACATCTCTTCATCTTTTTAAATGTCAGTGTACTCACAGTGATGGTGCTCTCAGTTGTTAGGAAATTTTTTGAGACAAGTGGGAGGGGAATGTGGGGGGGGAAGGGGTAGAGTGATGCAATATTTCTGAGTGTCATGTGATTTCACAATTTGTTTTTCAATCTGTTTGGTTGGACTTCCAAAAAGAAAGACTCTCATATATCAACAAGCATATAAACTGAAGCTTAAAACACTAAAAACAACCACAGAGTTTCAAATATACAACATGTATATATTCCTATTATTTGATGGGATGCTCCTGAGAAATGTGAATTTTTCTCTGACAGATTTACTAACTTGCTTCATCTGAACACATGAACCATAAACAATACCTAATGAGAAAACTTTCTGTGTTCTCCAAGGTCAAAGTTGGAACAAGTGTCGGGAATTTAGTTTTCCTTACTCGACAGTATTCATCATTCTTGTACTCAGTATGCTCATGAAAAATGCAAGCCTCTTACAGTTAGCACAAAGACACAGCAAACTTTCAGGGATAAAATATAAACTGACGAAACTGGGAGGATATAAAAATATAGCTATTAACCTCTTACAGTCCCAGATTTAAAGTTGAAATTCTATGCTCTTCATTGTGAAGAAAACGTCAGTCAATGTAATTGTAAACAAGAAAACCAATCCTTGTTTTCCCCTGTTCCACTAATTTGAGCACCTGTGAGAACTTTTGCTGTTACTTAGCCATTAACCTACTCAGGCCTTCCAAGTTTCTGTGTGTTTTTCCACTTTCTGTTGAGCGTTTCTGGTACAGTATAGATTGCTCAGCGATAATAGGTACATGAGGAGGAAAAAAAAAATTCAAGTTCCAAAATGGGATTAAGAATAGCAGCAATAGGGGCGGCTGGGTGGCTCAGTCGTTAAGCATCTGCCTTCGGCTCAGGTCATGATCCCAGAGTTCTGGGATGGAGCCCCACATCAGGCTTCCTGCTCGGCGGGAAGCCTGCTTCTCCCTCTCCCACTCCCCCTGCTTGTGTTCCCTCTCTCGCTGTGTCTCTCTCTGTCAAATAAATAAATAAAATCTTTAATAAAAAAAAATAGCAGCAATAAAACATAACTGTCTGGAAAGGACAGCCTTGGAGGCAGGTGGGTCAAATAAAATACACACATGGTTTGGATCTGGAAATGTTTCAAATTTGTCTCTATTAAGCATTTATTTGGTAAATAATAAGCCAGTTAACTTTTCTGTGATTCTTGATTTTTAAAAAAGGTTAAAAGCAAATGAAGACATGAGTTTGTTTGTTTACTTATTTATTTTTGTAATCTCTACACCCAACATGGGACTTATACCCATGAGCATGCTCATCCAACTGAGCCAGCCCAGTGCCCCGACATGAGTTTATTTTTTAAAGGAAATTTGACAATTAAATATAAAGTGGCATCAATAGATTATATGGCAATAAAATGTAAATTGTTTTGTTGCCAGATCCAGAAGCCTGAGACAATCTTCACTATCATAACTGTAGAGTGTCTCACTATGTACTCTTCCAATATTCTCAGATTTTTCTCACCTTTACTATACCACATTGTATTCATGGGTACCACAACATGTTTATTTCATTCAAGTCCTAGTCAACTTTTCCATATAGATTAAGAATTATTCTCCTGTAGAGCTGTGGCCTTCTCATAGCATTTTAAGTCCTATGCATTTAACACTTCTGTGTAGAAAAAGAACACACCACACTAGAATTGTGATGATGATATGATGAATCACATGTCAGCAGCAAGTTATTATATAAAGTTCAAAGCTTGTTAGAGCAGAAATGGTACTAAAAATAAAATCCCCCCACCCAAAAAACTCTTCTAAGTCCCAGGGCCATCATTTTAAAATAAATCTTGCATGTATTTCTTCCATATCTTGCTAGTATAAGAGTATTAATATTTACAAAGTGCGCAATTCATTACCAGGTAGTAACTCAAGCAAAGGAAGAAATCTGGCTGGATCAGTGATTTGTCAGCAAGGCCTGAATCACGGGAGGTTGGTCTCTGGTGTATCCTCCTGGTCCAAAAAGTAGGAGGTGGTGGTCCACCGAGCCAGGAATTGCCTGGCAGGAGCAACACCCTGGCTGTTGCGCAGGGTAGGTTGCATTTTTTGGCTTTTGCTCCTGAACCAAAAGTTCAAGTGTGAAAACCAGGACTGAAGCCTCTTCTCGGCTGGAACCAGGACACCCCCAGTTCAGCCAGAAGTTAGTTTGAGGGTGTAGTGGCCCAGCATTCCAGGAGTGGCACACGGCAGCAGGAGGGGTGCCAGGGCTGGGTCCCAGCTGCAGAGCAAGACTGGCCGCACATCCTTCACTTCATTAACATCCTGGATTTCTGGGCACCTGAGCAGACACACTGTTGGGACAGAATCAAGATGTGACTTCCGTGCTGAGTCTATTATCTCCACTGGGGTAGGCATGGATTTGAGAAGAGTCAGACAGTGGCCTGTGGATTGCAGACCTCCTTCTCCACAGTGCACTGGATCCTTTCTCCTTTACACGTCGTTTCATCTTTCTTAAGAGTAAAGAGCTCATGTTTCTCCCTTGCTCCTTTTGCATAACTGAACGCTTCTCCAACAGTGGTTTCCAAAGCTGACTGCATCAGAAGGAAGAAGCACCTTCAGATGTGTGCTTCTGACAGAACCTGTCCCCTCAGAAGGCTAGCTTTGAGGTTTACCTCCATGCAAATCACATTTTTTAAATTACAGTGTAGACAATACTTAAGGGAAAAAAAAAAACCAGGACAGGACAGAGTTGCATAAATTGAAGGAAGAAGTCCACCTCATCACCCTCTGCTAACCCAACTCTCTGAAGGTAATTTCTGTTAACAATTCGATGTGCTTTGGTGGACCTTTCTCTAAACACATGCCAACATATATGTATGTAAGTGTTTCCAAGAGTTTGTGCTTTCTTGGTTTTGTTTTGTTTTTACAAAAATGGTCTCTCGATATTCTCTTTATTCATTAAAAATGTGTGTGCACATGGCAGTTGGAGGGGGTGTAAATGAAACGTGCCTTTCTCTTCTCCCTCCCAGCCTCACTCAGTGAGCTGACTCTGTGTGATCTCATGACGGGAGAGAGCTTTCTGGTGTGGCATCCAGGACCTGGGCCATGCTGCAGAGGCGTGGACCACTGACACACACAACATCTGTCTGGTGTTCAGATAGAAGTCATGCGGCCAACACTCAGGTACTTGTGTTTCGGAACCTAACACAGTCCAGGATCAGACTGATTTTAACCAGCTAGGAGGAAATATGTGAATGAGTTTGTGATACATGATTTAGCTGAAAATGTCAGTGATTTGAATGCAACGAAACTGGTACGAAACTTGCCAGTGGCTAAAATTTTGTGGTTCACTTCTGCCCTGCTTTTAGCACAAAAAACAATTATGATATATGTGCAAAATGGCAGCCTGACCAGTTGTGTTCGCGCGTGCGCGCACACGCACACACACACACACAAGATACAGTGCTTTTCACACATCTTAATTACTTCTCTGTTAAGGAAGGTGTAACTGCAAATCCTCAAAGTGTAGTATCCCCTTACGTGATAGTTCCATTTCATTACCAGGTAATATATATAATGAATACTGTTGAGAAGTGACTAAGACCTATTTATAGGGAAAGTTAAGGTTAAGACACCACTTTCATGGAAGACAATTACAAAGACTTACAGTTCCTACTCCTATATCTCTGTACAGAAATGAGTTACTATTTTAAGATAATGACTGATGTTTTTCTTTCTTGCATTTCTCGTTTGCCCATATCAACCTGTCGGTTAGAGGAAGGGAATGCCTCTGAGTAGGAAGGCTAGAGACTAAAGAAGTAAACTGAAGTACTCAATAACTTTTCAGAAGGCTAAGGTAGGCAGAATTGTCTTGAAAGCCAATATTACAAGAGAAGAAAGCCTGTTTTAAATTTCTTAAGACTTAGAGCCTGAAGGAACCAGAGGATCAGAAAGTTTCTATTTTAAGCCACAGAGTGGGTAAAATGGCTAGTGTTTCTCCAGCTTGAAGAAGGGAGAGATTCAAAGGGAGACCTGGTCAGGGCGTACGTGCTGTCCCTGAGTGAGGGTAAGAGAAACCTCATAAAATTTAGCAAGACTGGAGGTGGAGACTGTGGGGAGTTCTGCCTCTATTCTCAGAGGATAGCCTGAGGAGACTCTAAGCCTTTCAGAGGTTGCATCCAGTATAGCAGACCAGGGAGGAGCTGGGTGCATGGACCCGAGGGGAGCCTCCCCCCACCGTGGAGGGAAGGAGGGTTCCCACTGTTCTGATCTCACAGTTCTCAAGAGGAGCACTGGGGTAGCTGAGAATAGCCAGGGGGTGCAAAGGAGCCTGGGGTAGGACGAGGAGGATAAAGAATGTGAGCATGACATCTACAGATTATGAACTGTGGGCATCAGCAGCAGGGGCCAGCAGATTGGGTTCTACTTCGAGGCCAACAAGGATAGAGGATGACAGAAGACCAAGTGTACCATTCCCACCTGATGTCAGGGTGATACATAGGCCCCACTCTCCTCCTCCTTTGGTTAGCTCATCACTAAAAGAGAGGAGGAGGGGAGAAGACAAAGAGCAATCCTGTGTTAAGTGAGAATTACTAAAAAATAAAATGAGTTTTGAATTAGCAAAGTGCAGTTTTTCATGGGCAGTGGAAACAGGGCTCTTGAGATAGGCTAAGATCAGAGATAGAGAAACAAAGCTACATATGTGCATATCTGAGTCCGTGTCTGGAATTTTCATGCCCACTATCTATACACAGGGCATATAGGCATGACTAAACAAGTATTTGTGTCTGTCTTTTTTTATAGTAGACCTGGGCTTGAATCTCGTATTATCCACTTAGTAGCTGGATGACTTTGAACAAATTTCTTGATCCAAGATTTTGCTTCAGGAAACTAGGAATAATAGTGTCTTATAGGTTTGTTTTAAGGATTAAATGAGATACAAAGGTTACCCTAAGACCTGGCATATGGTAAGCCCTTAATAAATGCTATTTACCATGACCATGATAACAATAATAATTATTATGCATGTGCTCATTTTGACTATAAATCTGAACTTCTGCTTGGCAAGATTTAATTACCTGTTGTATATACAAAGCATAGCACATCCAGCTACTGATACTATAAATGCTTAGAGGCTAAGGGGACATTCATGTACAGGCCTTTAATGGCAGTTTTTAAGGTTAACCCCCTTTTATAGGTTTATTTCTGTTTATTTAATTTTGACTTTGTTCTCAGGGAAGGATGTATGTCTCTAGATTTGAGGAAATCTGAAGTAAATTATTTTTGAGCCGAGACAGAAGTCTAAACCCCCCACCCCTCTCCCCCCTCACTCAGGGGGAAGTAAGTACGGTGGCCCACCCCCTCCCCCTTCACTCAGGGGGAACGGCGGCCCAAAGGTTCAACATCTGTGAGGTGGTAGCAGTATCTTCAGCACCATCTCTGGGGCTTCCCTCTGTTCTGAGAGATTTCACTAGACAAAGCAGCCAAGATGCCTCACCACACCTCTGGCCTAAGCATCCCTACACCTCTTATTCATGGGCGAGTGGGCAACCCTAATTCTACCCAGTAAAGCTGTCAAAGTGCAAAGCCCGCAGAAAACCCTGTCCCTGGTAATAAAGCGACACATGTAATAAAAGAGCACAGCCATACAGGGGCTAGCAGCCCGTGCTGTATTTGGCAGAAGAGGCATAATAAAGTCTTGGCTTGTTTTCTGGGTAGCCTCAAATAAAGCATCTAATCTCTTGACTCAGTCAACTTATCTTTAAGAGGGGGATGATGATACTGTGCCAGTTTGCCTCAAAGGGGTGTTATCTAAAGCTAAAGATTGCACCGTTGCAGCACCAAGTACTATGCGAATGCTGTGATTATCAGTAACCAGCACTGCTTTTATTCATATGGTGAATCCGTTTGTTTACTGTCACCATGATCTGCATTAATACAAACAGTGGATAGCAGCATGTTCACTGTGGGCCTCTAGATTTTAAGACAGACCTATCATTCATTCGCTTTGGTCTCTGAGTTTTTGTCCTAGATCCTGAAACAAACCTTTTCCCGTAGAGAGGAGGTTCTATCCTACCAAGTGTGTAGTTTAGAGGCACAGGCCTGGCCAGGTAAAAGCAGGCAAATACAAGTTGGCCAGACGTCAGCTGAATTTTGGGGCCTCCCCCCACCCACAGATGTTTTACTTCATCTAATTTTATTGTGGAAGAGTCGTATGTATATCAACATTTGGCAAACACTTCATTAGCAGAACTGTGGTTTCTTCTTATTATTAATAAGAATAAATGTCCCTGGGCATATGCACACATTATCAAAGTATCCAGAAGTTCCTGTATTCTTTGGAGCTCAACTAGAAATGTTGAGGACTCATTCTCCAGTCACACTTAGAAAAACACGCGTTGTGTACGCTTGTGGAATAAACACATACAAAGTTGCAAACTGTCACTTCTAACTCTAAAGGCAACTCACTGACATTTGAAGAGACAGGAGAGATTGTTTTTTGCCTATTCCTCAAGTTTCCTCGGGGTCCATTGCTGAGGAGACTTCAAAGCAAGCCCTCGTCTACTGGGACGAGGGCCAGCTTCTGGCTCTGGTCTGGCTGTGGAAAATCCCAGAGTAGATCTAGGAATATCCTGGTTTGGGGAGGGTGTTGAGATCATCACCATCATCATCCTTTTGTGTAGATCCTGCCCTTCATTATCGTTCTTTTCTCACTGAGGACTCTCGGGACGGCCTTCATCATGTTAATGCTGGCCTCACCGAATTCAGACCTGGGAGATAAGAAGGCTGAGTGGGGTCCACGAGTGGCCTCAGAACGCACCCAGCAATATCATTTCATGGGGCGTATTCAAGGGACAGAGCATAGTCAAGGATAGTCAAAGTAAGCCCTAGAATTCCTCTCCTGACTTTGTGTCCTAAAGTACATTGCAAACTCCTTCAAGTGGGGGTCCATGGCTATTCCTTTATGTATTTTGTGGGCTATGCCTTTAGAGATTCTCCTTGCCTGAAGAAAAGCGGGTTGGCTCTGGGATGATTCAAATCACAATATGAATTAGGGCAGGGTGTCATGTTAATTTTTTGGAACTAGAAATGAAGTGAACTGTGTCATTTTTCCACATTGTCAGTCTGATTAAGAAGGAATATACTTTATATTCTTCTACTTTTCCCAGTAAACTGCCTACAAAGACTGGTTCATATAGTCTAACAACTGCCACCTCTCATACCCAGGTGTATTTCCACAATTATGTTACTGGAATCTTTATCAGGTACTTGCCCTCCACCGCTTTTTTTTTTTTTTTTGCCATTTGATTGTTAAACTAATTGTGGTCTCCTAAACTGTAGGTTATTGGTCTTAAATATTGACAGAGTTCAGGACACTCTATCCCAAAATAGGACACCGAGGCATCTTGAATTTCAGAAACAGCACAGATAGAAAGGACTCTCTGACCTTCCCCTAAGGCAGGTCATAAAACCCTTATGTGAGGGATGACCTCCTCATCCCCAGAGGAAAGATGCATCCTTATCTCCAAGATGCTGAGAGGAATTCGAATGAACAGGTCTTGCTGTTTCCCCCAATTCACCACACAAAGCTCATACCCCTTTTTGTCCTATCCCATTTTCCCATGACCTTCCACCCTTTGTCAAACCTAATCTAAAATCACCCAGGTCTAACATCTTCAGGTCTTCATTTCCTTACGAAGGCTCCCAAGTCACATGAAACTTACAATAAATAAATGAGTATGATTTTCTCTTCATCACTCTTTTGTTACAGGAACCCCAGTCAAGAATTTAGAAGTGTAGAAGAAAGAGCTACTTTTCCTCCTTACATCAACAAAGTGGTAAGCAGGTAACAAGCTGTTAACAGTAGCCAAGAATGGGGTAATTTCTAGAGGAGAACAGTAGTCACTCTGGGTTAAGTATTAATTGTCAAGGAGAAGAGTTCGTAGCAGAGAGAGGAGCGGTCCTACTCTCAGAAGTAACCTCTCCCATCTCAGAAGTCTCCCAGCAGTTGCTATTATGCATCAGAATTGGCCCCATGGTGTTTTTTGTTTCTCCTAGGTACGCAAGACCAATATATGTGGAGGTTTTAGAGCACTGTAGCTACAAAGTTTTTAATAACCACTGAGTAATAAGCAAGCTTTAATGAAGCCTTGTATGGGGCACCTGAGGGGCTCAGCTGTTAAGCGTCTGCCTTCGGCTCAGGTCATGATCCCGGGGTCCTGGGATCGAGCCCCGCATCGGGCTCCCTGCTCAGCGAGAAGCCTGCTTCTCCCTCTCCCGCTCCCCCTGCTTGTGTTCCCTCTCTTGCTGTGTCTCTCTCTGTCAAATACATAAATAAAATCTTTAAAAAAAAAAAAAATGAAGCCTTGTATCATCACATTACTGAACACAATGGCAAAGGTTTTCATGCTCTTGTTAGGTTTAATCTTTCTGTATTCAACTTCTAAAGATGCCTACTTTTTTGAAACAGGAAAATTTTTCAAGGTCTGTTACTCTGTGGATTATCACAGATCTCTAAATCAAAGAACTATCTATTAGGAAATGTTCTCTCTCTCCCCACATTCATGGGTAATCTCGCGCTAATTGTTGGCATGGTAAAATAAGGAAGCCATCTGTGGTGTATATGTTGTTGCTGTTGTTGTTTTAGAGATAAGTTGACATATAGTGAGTGTTATATTAGTTTCAGGTGTACAGTATAATGTTTCTACATTTGTTGGTACCTGCCTTTTCACTGACTTCTGCTTAGAACTGATGAAGCACAGAGGTACTTTGCAAAACCTTTCTAAACAAAAAGATAAACTCATTTCCTTTATTCAGGAAACACAACTGACTATATTCATTACTGAATTCTTTCCAGTACCAGTATACTCATTGAAATATGCCAGAACAACCCCATCCTGAATATTCTTTGATAAAAAAGGCACTTACAGCATATCATAAGGAAAAGAGAGCTGGTGTTGGAATCTAGACCTACCTCTACCAATTCCTAGACATCAAGTTCTGGGTAAAATACCTAACTTTTCTCATTCAAGTCCTCTGTACAAATGAAGGGTATAGAAATGTAGCAGGATAGCGATGTGATTAAGATCTCAGGCTTTGCAATGGAACAGGCCTACATTCCAATCCAATTCTATTCTGCCGCTTGTTAGTTGAGTACCCTTGGGCAAGTTACTTAAACTTCTTATATCTTAGTTTCCTTATCTATGAAAAGAGGAATAACACTACCTCATCTCATGAAGTTGTTGTTAGAAAAATTAAATAAAAGGGTATCAACAGTGCTTACTTAGTTCAGTATCTGGTTCTTAACAATATTCAGTAACTCTGGTTTTAAAAAGAAATCCTACAAGAACTTTTGGGATCATGAGGCATAAACTTCTTCATTTTTACATGAGAAATGGAAACCCAGACATTAAGGATCTTGTCCAAGGTCACTGAACCCACATGCGTGTGATGCATATTCCCAAAGCTTTTATGAGTTCTGTGATCTGGTCAGAGTACTATCTCTTTGTGACCTAATCTCCTATTTACTATATATATGGACTATTAAACTAGGTGATCAAGTTACTGTCCGTGTGAAAACGCGAGTAATTACACTGCTGTTTGTCGAGGCCCTTCTATGTTCAGGGCATGCTGCCAGATAGTGTGAGTGTTACAATGGGCATATGAGAATCTGTCTCTGGTCTCAAAAGGGTTTACAGCTGAGTTGGAGAGACATTTATGAGAAATGTAAACTATTGGGATAGCCACATGACATGGCCAAGGTTGAAGTGTTCTAAGAATTAGACATGGGCCATGAATGTATGTTATAAGGTCCTACAGAAAGTGAGCTCCATTTGACCTGGCTGTCGATGGTGGCTTCACAGAGAAAATGGGACTTTTCCTGTGCATTAAGATTAAACTGGATTAGAATACACAGAGAGGAGAGGGAAGGACATTATATGTTCCTTGCAATAGCCTGTATAAAAGTACAGAGGTAGAAAAGAGCACCATTAAGTGTGGGACATTCAACGAAAAGCACTCACTCAATCATTTCTTATATTGACCTTAGTCCTCTCAGCATGTTCTATTTTCACAAGTGGCAGTGGGTGTTTTCACAAGTGTGTGTGTGTGTGTACATATGTTCACACATGAGTTTGAACTCCTGACTTTAAATATTGGCCAGGAAAGCACCGAGTGCTTACGACTCCCCAAAGTTCAAGACCCAGAAAAGTAGAGGTCATCTTTGAGCTCACTGGCTCTTGACTCTCACTCTAATCTAGCAGCTCATTCTGGCTCTTCTACCACCAGCATACTTCTCAGATTCCTCCCCTTCTCTTTCTTTCCACTGCTAGTTACCCGTCCCAAGATCAGCCTACATTACCCATTGTTATACCTATGCTACAGGCAACCCCATTCCATCCCTGTCCCCTGCGAGGCATTCCCCACGCAGCAATCATCTAGCAATGCAAATCTTATCATGGAACCCCTGCTGAAAACCTTTCAATGACTGCCAATTTTACTAAGCATATAATCCAAACTGTTTGTTACTGCCTTCAAGGCTCTGCAGGATGTGGCTTCCTTACCTCTCAGACCTGACGTCATGTTACCCATCCCCTCCCTCGCTTGCTGTTCTTTGAACCAACCAAGGTGCTTCCCAACTCAAGGTCTCTGTGCTTGCTGTGCCCTCTACTTGAAACATTACTCCCCCCGCTTTGTGCAACCTGCTTACCTTTCAAACTTCAGCTTAAATGTTACCTACTCGAGAGAGGCTTTCTTTGATCTAACTATGTAAACAAATTCCCTCTGCTATTCTCTAAGATTGCACCTTATGAATTTTCCTTTCTAGCACTTACCAGTTTCTTTAGAATTGTTGATTCTTAGTGAAATTTGTTCGTTGCTTAACTTTTTAAACATTTGTTTTCCCTACCAGAACATAACCTTTATGATCAGGCCTTGTCTGCCTGGTACATTTTTCAGTTTCCAGAATCTAGTACTGAAAATTTCAGAGATTAGTGAATGGATTTATAAAAGGAAATAAATGGAAAGCCATTATAGCAAATAAGTCTCATAGAAGGCAGCTGCTTTAGTGATGGCATTCACCCTCGATTCTGTAAATAGGAGACTGCAGGTGTTTACAAAGCAGTTGCTGTATTTGGGGGGTAATTCTTTTTTTTTTATTATTGTTATGTTAATCCCCATACATTACATCATTAGTTTTTGATGTAGTGTTCCATGATTCGTTGTTTGTGCATAACACCCAGTGCTCCATGCAGAACGTGCCCTCCTTAATACCCATCACCAGGCTAACCCATCCTCCCACCCCTCTCCCCTCCAGAACCCTCAGTTTGTTTTTCAGAGTCCATCGTCTCTCATGGTTCGTCTACCCCTCCGATTTCCCCCCCTTCATTCTTCTTGGGGGGGTAATTCTAAAAGAAATATTTCATTATTGCCAAAGACTGTTACCTCTTACGAGTAGGGGACTCAGAGCTGCTTGGAGAGGCTGATGGGAGACTAGTCACTAACCTCCATTAGTAGCTAAGCTCATTGGCTTTACATCTGGAAAGACAAATTTCTGTCTCCAAAAACTAACGAATTACTACATGGCAAGGGAACTGTTCTATAATTTAAAGGACAAATATTATATTCTGTCTAGTGACTGCTATCCTCTTGTCAAGTTGCTCTGAGGACAGAAGAAAAGGGCTCTTGCCTGGCTCCTTTACATCACTTACCACTTATCTGGCCAATTGATGATTATAGGCATTCCCTTGATTTCAACTTCCCTTATTTCTCTCCAGCTTTCCTCTCATAATCAAAGGCCATTATATATATACTTGCCCAGAAGTTTTACGGTCTTACCCAAGGATCTTGCCCAAGGTCAGTGAACCAATGTGTCTGTAATATTTATTCTCAAAGCTTTTATTAGTGCTGTGATCTGGACAAAATACTATATCCTTGTGACCTAATCAATCAATCAATCAAGTTCAGTAACAGTGACAACAGGATACAAAATTTCATTTACTGAGGGATTTTTTTCAAATGTGCCTGGCATTATGCTAAACCTTTTATAGGCATCATCTCTTCTAATCCTGCCTCCAAGCCCATGAAATAGTAATTATAATCTCCTTTTCACAGAGGAGGAAACTGAGGCCTAGTGAAGTTAAGAAACTAGCCCAAGTTCACACTGTTGTAAAGTAACTTGGGTTTCAAACTCAACTTTGAACCTGTTAAGTGCCAAAGCAGTATCAATATGGATCAGCTAATAAAGCGAATCAGAATCAAGCACATTTTTTTCAACATCAAATGATGCATACAATTAGTTAAGCTTTTAAATATTTTATACAGGAATAATTTGACATGTCCTTTTTTTTAAAGGGTTGTACATAACTATGCACATTAAGTATGTTTCTGGTTATCAACAGTTCGAGTATATTAGATTCTGTTTCTGGTCCATATAAATTTTCCTTTTCTGGCCTCTCAGCATCTATTTTCATGTTTCCTTATTTTATATTTGATTGGCAGCTTTTCCCTTCTTATAAAAAATTGGGCAGCCATGCTTCTCTGTATTGGTGGGTCAGTGTAACCTCTAATTACTTCAGTCTCCTCCTCTGCAAGAAAAGCTGTCAAAATACAAGAACTCTCGAATGTCTTGTTCAACTCTCTCACACACACACACACACACACAGGGATGAAGAGGGCTAGAATTCTCCCGAAGAAGCAGAACAACTGGCAACAGTTGGCACAACAACTTCTAAAGACCCCGTCTGACTCCGTCTTGAAAGTCAGCCTCAAAATCAGAATTACCCCGCCCATACCAGGACTATCTCACTAGCTAGGCTTCATGACATAATACCTGCTATCACCTTTCAGCAAAGATGTGATCCTTACCATTCATATTTTGTAAGACCAACAAAGCATCCTTTGTACCTCAGGACAACTGGGTATTGGTTAAGGTACAAGGCCCACAAAGACATGGCTCCCCCATTCTTTGGTAACCCACACCACATGATTATCAAACACGTTTCCAGTCTTTAGAATAATCTAGTTATTAGAAAAGGTGATTGGACACAACAGCAAAAATCTAGAGGTTTTGTATTGTTATTAACAACAGGCAATCAGAACAGAGTTAATACGTCTTCCCCCCCCCCCCCCCGTTACCCAGCATTCAAAGCTACAACTGGAGCCACATTATAATAACTTTAGACCCCAAATCAGTGTGACGATTTGATGCATAATTTCCAACACATGTTTTATTAATCCATTCTTCCTGTGCTTCATTTAAAGCACTGGAAACTATAAAAAGATCTGCGTGTCACTCCCCTGCCAGGAAAAAAGAGGAAAGAAAGAAAGAAAAGAAAAGAAAAGAAAGAAAGAAAGAAAGAAAGAAAGAAAGGAGAAAGAAAGAAAAGAAGAAAAAGAAAGAGAAAGAAAAGAAAGAAAAAGAAAAAAGAAAGAAAAGAAGAAAGAAAGAAAAGAAAAGAAAGAAAGAAAGAAAAGAAAGAAAGAAAAGAAGAAAAGAAAGAAAGAAAGAGAAAGAAAAGAAAGAAAAAGAAAAAAGAAAGAAAAGAAGCAAGAAAGAAAAAGAAAAGCCTAACAAACACGAAAAAAAAAAAAAAAAAAAAAAAAGCCAGAGCAACTGGAATCTCAGTTTTGAGGAAACACATGGGATTGAAGCATCCGCCGCAACTCTGCAACGACTGCCACATGTGACCCCTCCTCCCCCCTCTCCCCTGCGCGGAATCCTGGATGTCACCGGGCTGGGCGGAGGAGGCCGTGCTCGCAGGCAAGTGTGCGGCAGCGGGGGCCCTGCGGGGCGGGGCAGCTGACGCCGCTCGCGGCGCGGGGAGGGTCTTCCAGGAAGCCGCGGGCTCGGCTGAGGACGCGGCTGCGGGTCGCGGCCGGGGCCGCGCCGCCCGGACCGGCACGTAGCGCCCAGCGTGACTCAGCGCTGACTCACCGCGCTCGCTGCCAGGGGACTTCCCCGTCAGCCGCTGCCGCTCGCCGGTCCTCGCCGCCGCCTGCTCCGCGAGCCCTTTCCTGCACGCCAGACCAGTCCCGGCGCTTTCAGCAGAGCGGGGCCGACTTTACAGCCTTGGAATCCCGACCGAAGCGGGGAAGTGACCGGCTTTGTTTTCTTGGATTTGAAGAGCTCAATGGCCCACTAATCAAATTCTTTCATCAAAGGCTTGTTGGAACAAATCCCTAACATCGTCCTTCCACGGTGACTTGTAGGTGACCTCCGCTCAGAGTTTGCTTCTGTCGTCCTAGGCCTGCATCTTATTTTTATCCCGCATTTTCTTGGGTTATCTTTTCAATATGTTTGGTAACTAGTCTTGGCACAAACCCACAAGGGCAGTGACGCAAATCAGGTTGGAACTTGGCATGATGTGCGGGCCTGGGTGACTTACTGTAAAAACGGTTCATAAAGACGTTACTATCTGCCATCTCGGTTGCTGATTAGATGCCCTGCTCATTTTCAGTCTGTCACTACCCTCTGAAAGGTCCCGGGACAGAATGTTAAAATGCAGATTCTTGAGCAGTCGTACTTACTTCTTCGTCTCCAGGATTCTACATGGAGAACAATAATACAGCACGGTTTCTCCAACTGCAGCTCACGGACCATTCACTGCATGGAGAGTGGCTGGGGGGATGTGGTCACAGCGCAGGTTCTTAGACCCCGCTCCAAGCCATAGACGCAGAATGTCTTGCGGTGGGGCCTGGAAATCCTTTTTTTTTTTTGGAAGATTTTATTTATGTATTTGTCAGAGAGAGAGACAGAACACAAGCAGGGGGAGAGGAAGGCAGAGGGAGAAGCAGGCGCCCCACTGAGCAAGGAGCCTGATATGGGACTGGGTCCCAGGACCCTGGGATCATGACCTGAGGCAGTCGCTTCACCAACTGAGGCACCCAGGCATCCCTGGAAATGCATCTTAATGAGCGGCCCATCAGAGATGCCTATGTACACTAAAGTTCAAAAACTACTAGCCAGAGGATGACGGTCTTTCTGTGAAGACGCTAGGAAACATTCTCACGATGGAGAACACTTTGTTCTAAAACTGATTTTGAAGTTCTGATAGCAGGCAACCCGATTTCTAAAACTGGTTATATATACAATTTTGTTCAACTGTATATTAATATAGACACATTATTTTTCTTTTTAATTAGACATTCGGCTATGAAGTAAAATGTAGTACGTATAGAGTAAATTTTATTTCAGACCTGTTATTTCCTAAACCTGACTTTGCATCAGAATTAGCTACAGAGCCTTTTAACACTAATTCCTGGACCAGACCTCCCGCCTAAAGAAACATTATCTCTGAAGATGAAACCTAAGAACAGGCAATCCGAAAAGCTCTGAAAGTTAGTCTCTGGACCTTTGCAAATGATCACTCTTCCCAAGTACAAGAGAAACTTCACTAACTTCAAGGTAGTTGGCTTGTAGCATTCTACTATGGTGCCCACTCATCTCTGCATCACAATTGCAATTGTGATGAAATCACAATTGAAAAAATAAAATGAAAAGTGACCACATAAGATACCAACTTAGGGGCGCCTGGGTGGCTCAGTTGGTTAAGCGACTGCCTTCGGCTCAGGTCATGATCCTGGAGTCCCTGGATCGAGCCCTGCAACGGGCTCCCTGCTCAGCAGGGAGTCTGCTTCTCCCTCTGATCCTTCCCCCTCTCATGCTCTCTCTGTCTCATTCTCTCTCTCAAATAAATAAATAAAATCTTTAAAAAAAAAAAAAGATACCAACTTAGTATTATATTGATAAATGTATGTCTTTAGAAAGCAAATTTGAAATCTTTTTTTTTTTTTTTTTTTTTTTTTTTTAGAGGAGCTATTGGGAGAGGTTGGGAGATTGGAGAATAATCTCAGAGTCTATTTTGAAATTTTTTCTATTCTTCCCTGGGATATTTTATTTGTTTACTCATTTTCTTTTCATCTCGCTGGGTAAATTTCCCCCACTTTATCCCTGTTAGCATTGTGGCAAAAAGCCTGGATCTGACACATATCTGACAAGAGAGCTCTCCTTGCTGACTCTTCTCTAAGTGTGGTCTTTGGACCAGCAGCATGGACATCACCTGGAAATCTGTAAGAAATGCAGACTCTCAGGCTCGACCAGAACTACCATATCAGAATCAACACTTTAGCAAGATCTCCAGGTGATTTGTGTGTATAATAAAATATTGGAAGTACTGGTTTGTAGTAATGGTAATAATCTAAGGCCAATGGAATAAAAAAAGAGGAAGTAGGAGGTGGGCGTGAATTAGTTTCCTGGGGCTGCCATAGCAGAGTACCACAAACTGGTTGACTTAAAACAACAGAAATTTATTCTTCCACAGTTCCAGAGGCTAGTAGTCCAAAATCAAGGTATCAGCAGGGACTTGTTCTATCTATGGTATTGGAGAAGACAAAATCCTACCACGAAATTAGTTTGACCATAAAAGTAAGCCCTAAAATAAAGAAAAAAATAATTATAGCTAAAACTATAACCACATTGAGAGGCAAACTGGAAATATCTTAGGATCAGGGCAAGAAAATGAAGGGAATCCTTATAACAGCAGGAAAAGGTAAGAGTAGGAGCACAGGCAGCTCCAAGATAGTAATGTCTTTTTAAAAGCTCTTGACCATTTGTAGTAGGCATCTGTTTCTGTTGGCCCAGCATTGGTTCTCCCTCTTTCCTCTAACTAAGAAAATTCTCATCATCCTCACTAACATTTCAGTGCAAGACATCAACCGGTTTCCCTCCCCCCTTCCTCCCAAGGGTGAAACACATGACTCTTTAATTTCTGTCCTGCACATCTAAATCTGGGTGAGTCCCAAAAATGCAGAGTGGCGAAGCAGAGTCATTTCAGTCGTCATGCTGGAAGACACTAACCAGATGTGTCAGTCTGTCCACTGAGAATACCACAGTAACCCTAGCTGCTGTCCTCCCCAAGTCCCAGTTGTTTAACTTCTTTTGTTCTAAGAGCTACCCAGTGTCTTTCCAAATGTTTTGCATTTGTTTTAACGTCTAACATGTTTAATGTTTATTTTTAACTTATTATTTTAGACTATTTCTTATTATTTTATTATAATTTATCGTTAATTATTTTAATAGGGCCAGGATTTTGCCCCAGTTGGTTTCTATTGCTTACAACAAATGAGCCTAACTAACTGTTATGAAATTATTGGTGGGTAGAACACATATTGCCCACAGCCACCCCACAAAAACAACCTGACTGTAGTCTGCATCCATGACAAATAGGACTCTTGAAATATAAGAAAGATCTTCCCAGTTTTGTTTTGTTTTTTTCCAACTGATTTTACCAGCTATCATTACTGCCCTGTATTTCAAGCTGAGTCATTCTTCCCTTCTGAGCCACCCAAATTGCCAGGGGGCACAAAAGAGAGAATCACTCTTGTTACGCTGCTTGTAGACACCAATAATCTTCTTTATGTTGCCTCCAGTTTCTCATTGTGGTTTTCATGATATTTGCAATATTAAGGAGATTAAAGAAAAGTACTCCAAAGTTTCTAATTAGAACTATTTTCAAAAGAGAATCCCTATTGTGCCAGACTAAATGTGATCTTTTCTTTTCAAGCAAAGATTAGCCTAAAGACTTCATCCTGGCCAACACTAAAATGTGTGTCTTTTGAACTCTACTGATAAAATTTAATTTGATCAAGGTGTATCAGCTTCTCCAAATCCATACTCCTTATTCTCCTCAATCTCCCTTCACATTAATTTCCTTAATTTTATCTTCTGACAGTGGTTGCATGGTGGATATAGTTTCATTTGGCTGGAGTAGGGAGCATATAAGAGTAAACCCCAAAATGTAGCTGTTTTGAAATTATAGTGAATCATGAATGTCATAGTGAGGACTTTGTACTTAAATGGGTTTTTTTTTTTTTTTTTTTTTTTTTTAAGATTTACTTATTTATTTGAGAGAGAAAGAGCGGACCTGCCCAAGCAGACTCCTGGCTAAATGCAGAACGAGAAGGAGGGCTCCATCCCATGACCATGAGATCATGACCTGAGCCGAAATCAAGAGTCTGATGCTTAACTGACTGGGACACCCAGGCGACCCTTAAATGTACTTCTTTAATGTTCTTTTTAAAGATTTATTTATCTGGGAGAGAGAGCTTTGCCCACGTGAGCACAGGGAGGGGATTGTGGGAAGGGGCAGAGGGAGAGGCAGATAAAAGTCTTAAGTAGACTCCATGCTGAGCTGGAGCCTTACTCAGGACTCAGTCTCATGACCCTGAGATCAGAACCTGAGCCAAAACCAAGAGTCCGACGCTCCACCAACTGCACCACCCAGGTGCCCCTCTTTAATGTTTCTGATCAAGATAAAGAAGTGACATTTATCGGGGCGCCTGGGTGGCTCAGTTGGTTAAGCGACTGCCTTCGGCTCAGGTCATGATCCTGGAGTCCCAGGATCGAGTCCCGCATCGGGCTCCCTACTCAGCAGGGAGTCTGCTTCTCCCTCTCCCACTCCCCGTTTGTGTTCCCTCTCTCGCTGTGTCTTTCTCTGTCAAATAAATAAATAAAATCTTTAAAAAAAAAAAAAAAGGAAGTGACATTTATCAACTGCATATTATATGCCTGGAACTATATTATCCATTGATTTCCTGCTTATGATAGGTGAAGATTCAACTCTCTTAAATCCACCTAAGACTTTAAGTAAAATATTTAAGCCTCGGAAGATTTAAGATCAGTGACAGTATGAATATCTACTTTGTTAAAAGGGGATATATGCTCCTTCCCATTCTCCTTGACTTTCTTTCTCTTTGTAGCTATTAAATTCTGTCATAGGAATGTTTCCCTTTTTACCTTATTGCGATTGATAACATTTTTATATATATGTATATATATATTGTTATCTCAACTGTTCTGGGGTTTGTCTAAAGGTTTAACACTGAAATAAAAAAAAAAAACATTGGTATTACTAAGACTATGTGAATATTCTTCATGGCAGCGAATGTAGTATAGTCGTGATTACATGTTTTTTCTGTACTCTTACTGTTTTTCATAAAGTTTTTAATTGTCTTTGTTCCTAACATACTCCCTCCACTCTCCAGTATCTTTTAAAGAGAGAGGACCTGGGAAATAAATGCACTAATTCTTACATTCCTGAAAATGTTTTCATTCTGCTTTTACATTTAATTGATATTTAAGCTGGGTATAGAATTCTTGGTTGAAAATCACTTTCTCGCAAAAGGTTTGACAGCATTCCTCCATTGTCTTCTACCGGTACTGAAGATGAAAAATCAGATAAAAGCCTGAATCTTAATCCTTTATTTCCTTTTCACGCACCTTAAATTTCTTCTCTCTATTCTAAGCTTTCTATACTTTCAGTGTTGTTTCTAGTTGTAGGCATTTTTTTCATTTACTCTATCACTTAGCAGAAACTTTACATCTGAGAACTCAAGGCTTCCTTTAGCTCTCTATATATTTCCTTTCTCCATTTTCTCTGACCTCTCCTTCTGGAAGTGCGATTAATTAGATCCTGGATTTATAGGACAACTCTTTTTCTTATAGCTCTTCTTCTATCTTGTTTTTTTGATTCTTTGCACTATATTTTCAGCAATTTCCTTAATTTTATCTTCTTATCCTTCTATTTATATTTTCATATTGGGAAGTATGTATTCAGCTTCCCAGGATGCTTACTTAGTGTCTGATTATTCTTTCATTATAACATCTTATCTGCTTGAATTTCTCTGATAAACTTATTAGGACTTTTTGTTTAAGAATTCTTTGTTCCCTAAATTATTTGTATTTCCTTATGCCATGCTTATATGTATTTCCTGATACATTTATTTTATTTTGCAGGTTTTCTTCAAATGTCTAGGGATGTTGGTTGTGTTTTTATATTTAGAAAGAGGCATCAGAAAGGCATCTGTTTAGGAGACATAAGCTTCTGAGTCCTTACATTCCAGAATAATTTTGTGTTAGGGCATCAGCAACCCACTGTGCTAGTAGGTTGCCAGTGTTTCCCCCAGGCAGTGTTTTCAGTGCCTCTGGGTAAATATCTTGTTTGTGCTTTTGTTTTGGATTGGGATAAAAGCCTAGCTGTCAGATGTTTTGAACTAGGGGGCCAGAAGGGGGGAAAGAGGAAACATGGCCCACTGTGGCTCGGTATTCTCTGGAGGACCTGGATTTCTTAGCTCCACTTCTCACATTACCCTTCCTTAATCTCTCAGTTTTTTGAGAACAGATGTTATCTAGGTACTGCAATTAGGCAGCTTTCTGCATTTTCCTAGGAAGCTGAAAAAAAATAGGGGACTCAAGTCATTAAGCGTCTGCCTTTGGCTTAGGTCACGATCCCACGGTCCTGGAGCAGGGAGCCTGCTTCCCCCTCTGCCTCTCCCCCCACTTGTGCTCTCTCTCTCAAATAAATAAAATCTTAAAAAAAAAAAAAAAAAGTACAGATCCCTGGATTCTACTTAGGGATTCTGATTCAGCACCTCTAGACTGGGCCTAGATATCAATATTTCTCTTTCTAATACCTTCCTGGCTTATGTACACAACCAGTTTGGAGCACCACCAAGTTACTAATGACTTGGGGAAGAGGTAACTTTATAAGACAAGCAGAGGTAGGAGCCTCATGACCTGGCAAATGCCTGGGTGTGGGGAGAAGGAAGAAGACGGAATCAAAAACAACTACCAGGTTTCAATCCTGAGTGACTCCAAAAGTGATAGTAAAATTAGCATAAATAGGAAAGTGAGGAGTACTTCCTTCTTGATTTCTTCTTCCAGATACTGTACCAAATGCCACCCCTATGAATATTACCAAAGAGCTCCTTACGTAGAAAAATTACTAATAAGGATGTTAGATTACAATAAAATAATGAACAAATAGATGTGTGAATATATTCTCAGGCTGGAGAACTAGTATTTATATGCACAAGCTAAACAATCTATCCACTTTTGACCATTTATGAAGGTATATTAAAAAAATACGCATAGAGCATTCCAAAACTGAATGTTAATAATCTATTAGTAGAGAATTCCTGGCTTTCTTTCAATCAACTGTCTTAATTTCTCAAATGTAAAAGAGCAAAATTCAAATATACAATACCTCTTACGCTTAATATACCTGAACATAAAAGTGCAAAAAAACTCACAATATCTACAACTCTTCATAAGGCTTATATTCTTACTAAAATATTGCTGTTCACACAGTTCAATTTCTATTAACAGTACAGCCTGATGACTCATTTTGTACATTTAGAGTCTAATGAGGATTTTTAGATCTGCAATACCTGTAATGACAAATGGCTCCTTCACATTAAAACACCTATTTTGGACAAACCATGAGAGACGATGGACTCTGAAAAACAAACAGGGTTCTAGAGGGGAGGGGAGTGGGAGGATGGGTTAGCCTGGTGGTGGGTATTGAGGAGGGCACATTCTGCATGGAGCACTGGGTGTTATGCACAAACAATGAATCATGGAACACTTCATCTAAAACTAATGATGTAATAATGTATGGGGATTAACATAAGAATAAAAAAGAACAAACAAAACACAATGGATTATGCAGACTCCTGACAGAACTAAAAAAAAATAAAAATAAAAAAAAATAAAACACCTATTTTGGGGGGAAATAGTTCTATAAAAATACTCAATTTTTAATTTTTTTAAAATTAAGGTATAATTTGGGGTGCCTGGGTGCCTCAGTCATTAAGTGTCTGCCTTCGGCTCAGGTCATGATCCCAGGGTCCTGGGATCGAGCCCCGCATCGGGCTCCCTGCTCGGCCGGAAGTCTGCTTCTCTCACTCCCACTCCCCCTGCTTGTGTTCCCTCTCCTATGTCTCTCTCTCTCTCTCTGTCAAATAAATAAAATCTTTAAAAATAAATAAAATTAAGGTATAATTTATATGCAGTAATTTTTAGTCTTGCCAGTGCAAAATTCTGTAAATTTTGACAAACATATAGTCATATAACCACAATCAAATAAAAGAAATTTCATCACTCCTCAAGTTCCCCACAAACTCATTTGAAGTCAGATCCTAGCTAATAGAAGGACAACTGTTGTCCTTCAGGATCAGTGCCAATGGAAAAAAGTGCCCTGAAATACAGATCTCAGGCCTGACATGATGAAAATCTAATGCCACAGCTGTTGTCTCTCACAACTGTCACTCATCATGGGTTTTTTTTTTTAATGTTTTTTAATTGAAGTACAATGGACATATACACCATTGTATTAATTTCAGGGGTATAGCATAATGGTTCAATATTTGTATATATTATAAAATGATCCCTACAATAGGTCTAGTTACCATCTGTCACCATAGTTACATGGTTTTTTTTTATGATGAGAACCTTCTAGATCTATTCAGCAACTTTCAAGTATGCAATACATTACTGACTACAGTCACAATGCTGTACATTACGTCCCCATGACTTATTAACTAGAAGTTGGTACCTCATGATCTCCTTACCCATTTCGCTCATACCCGTCCCAATCTGTTCTCTGTATCTATGAAGTTTGTTTTTTTGCTTTATTATGTTCCACATGTAAGTGAAATCATATGGTACTGGTCTTTCTCTGACTTATTTCACTTGGCATGATACACTCAAGGTCCATCCATGTTGTCACAAATGGCAAAATTTCATTCTTTTTTATGACTGGGTAGTATTCTACTATATATATATATATATATATATATATACCACATCCTCTTTTATCCATTCATCCACTGACAGACACTTGGGTTGTTTCTATATATTGGCTATTGCAAATAATGCTACAATGAACAGAGGGGTGCAGATATTTTATTGAACTGGTGTTTTTGTTTTTTTTGGATAAATACCCAGAAGTGGAATTACTTGATCATATGGTAGTTCTATTTTTAGTATTTCAAGGAACCTCCATATTGTATTCTATAGCAAATGCAACACTTTACATTTCCATCAAGAGTGCACAAGGGTTCCCTTTTCTCTACATCCTTGCCAACACTTGTTATTTCTTGTCTTTTTAATAATAGCCATTCTGACAGGTGTAATGTATATCTCATTATGGTTCTGATTTGCATTTCTCTGATCAAGAGTGATGTTAAGCATCTTTTCATATGCTTGTCAGCCATCTGTATGTCTTCTTTGGAAAAATGTCTACTCAGATCCTCTACCCATTTTTTAATCAGCCTGTTTGTTTTTTGGTAAGGATATTAACCCTGTATCAGATATATAATTTGCAGATATCTTCCCTCACTTAGGAGGTATCCTTTTCATTTTGTTGATAGTTCCCCTTGCTGTGCAGAAGCTTTTTAGTTTGATGTAGTGCCATTTGTTTATTTTTGCTTTTGTTTCTTTTGCCTTTGGAGTCAGGTCCCAAAAATCATCACCAAGACCAATGTCAAGGAACTTACCCCCTATATTTCTTCTAGGAGTCTCATGGTTTCAGGTCTCACATTTAAGTCTTTGATCTATTTTGAGTTAATTTTTGTGTATGGTGTTAGTGATGTAGTTTTATTCTTTTGCATGTGGTTGTCCAGTTTTCCCAACGCCATTTGTTGAAGAAACTGTCCTCTCCCATGGAACATTTTTGCCTCCTTTGTTATAAACTAATTGACCACATATGCATGGGTTTATTTTGGGGCTCTTTATTCTGTTCCACTGGTTCATGTGTCTATTTTTATGCCAATACCATGCTGTTTTGATTACTACAGCTTTATAACATAATTTGAAATCAGAGTGCATGATGCCTCTTTGTTATTTTTGTCATGATTGCTTTGACTATTTGCAATACTTTGTGTTTCCATACACATTTTAGAATTTAGGGGTTTTTTGTTCTGGTTCTGTGAAAAATGTTGGTATTTTGATAGGGATTTTGTTTAAACTGCAGATTGCTTTGAGTAATATGGACATTTTAACAATATTAATTCTTCCAATCCATGAGCATGGAGTATATTTCCATTTATTTCTCTTTTTTAATTTCTTTCAATGTTTTAGTATACAGTGTACAGGTCTTTCACCTCCTTGATTAAATTTATTCCTAGGTATTTTATTCTTTTTTAATGCAATTATAAATGGGATTATTTTCTTAGCTTCTTTTTTAAAAACTTTATTTTTATTTAAATTCAATTAACATATGATGAATTATTGGTTTCAGAGGTAGAGGTCAGTGATTCATCAGTCTTATATAACACCCAGTGCTTATTAC